AATGTCTTGCTAATCGTGATGGCTTCATACTATCATATGAATATCATATGAATTGAGCTAATATCTCAAGGCACAATATACACTTAGGGCGAGGTTCATTGTTAACGATAGTGAATGTAAATCCATATTTCAAATAGCCTTCTTCTTGATAATTCAGAATTTTTTTGGCCAACTTCTTGTCAGATCTGATAATATGGCTGACGAAGAGCTCGTACTAGCAGTAGGAGAACTGTCAGCTCTGACATTTTCTTGTTCGCTTGTGCTTGCATCATTAGTATTATCTTCAATCCGCGGTTTCTTTGCAAGAATCTTTTTAAGCCACTTGTCCATTTTGTGAGGGTTAGTTTAGTTAAAACTAGATAATATAATCTGTAAATCCACTTAACCGGGCACACGTAAACTGCAGTACGTCGCAATACACTGAAAGTGAATGAATGAGTGAGGATGCCATTGTCAACCCCTCCGTGTTGTGGAACTCCCACTCTTCCTTCAGGATACCTCGCAGGGCCGGCTCCAGGCACCAGCATAGGAAGCATGTGCCTGGGGCGTCACACTGTAAGGGGTGGCATTCTGGCCAATCTTAGGGCAGTGCTCCTCTGGCTGCCCCCCTTTTTTTTTTTCATCCGGTGGCGCTCCTCCTGCCACGCCGCCCTTTTGTTCCGGCGGTGCTCCTCCTGCCGTGCCCCCCAATGGATCGTCTTGGGCACCCCACTTTGGAGACCACTGCCCTAGAGGGTTAGGAATGGGAGACATGAAAACCACCCCCTGAGGGTTGTTCAAGGACTAGGGAAACTAAAAAACCTCGGAGGTGGCAGTGATATGGGGGACGGAGGGGAAGGAGGCGGGCAATGCGTTGCCAGGGGCAGGAGCGGGGCTGGTGTCAGGACCAGGAACAGAGGCAGGGGTAGGGGAAAAGGTGGGAGCGGAATCCCCGGCGGCTATGTCACTGGGGTGCAGCACCTCTTGACCAGATTCAGGGGCCGAGGGGGCGGGGATGGGAAGGGGGCCCTCACCAACGCCGGGCCTGGGCGCTTCAATGAGCTCAGTGCCCTCAACCACAGCGTCGGGCATGGTGGCATCAGCGACAGGGCCCCCAACCGGGTGGGGAAGCAGCTGCCTCGCCTCAAAAAGGGGCGCACCCAAGAGCTCGGGACCTGGCTGCTTGGCACCGGCCATCGCCACCAGGGTCTCAGCAGCCAAGAGCAAGGTCCAGTCTGTGGCCAGACAGATGGACAAACCCAGGGGTACCCCAAGGTCGAGAGCAGGGGCAGCTGCCTGGGGCAAGGGGGAAAGAGGAGGAGGGGGTGGCGTGACTAAGCCGCCACCTGGATTGAGGCCCATTGGCAAAGGGTCATCCACCGCCTCAGTGATTGGGATCAGACCCAGGGCCGCGATCTCCTCAAAGATGGAGGTGAAGTCTCCCCACACCACCCCAGAGTCCTCCCTGCCATCAACCAAGACAGCAATTGCCTCATCGCAGACGGGGGGCTCGGGTGACAAAAGGGTTGGGGGGCTCCATCTGAGGTTCCCTTGGGGAGAGATTCTGAGAGGGGGGTAATTCTGCCCCCCCTCCGCTACCATGGCATTCCCGACTGACTCCACCTGCTGGACTCTATCAGGGGGTGCGGCGGAAGACTCAGCAGCGGCAACCCCCCTCATGGTCTTGTGGGGGGCCTCCCCCCCTCCACATTGAGGGGGTGGTTCTGAGCCCAAGACTTCCTTTTGCTGCGCTTTCCCTGCATGAATACCCAGCCCTTCGAGGTGGAGGGCCAGCCAGCAGGCGTTGGGCCAGGGGGCAAGGGCGATAAACTTGGGGGTTCAGGAAGCAAGGAGGGGACAACGAGGGGAAGGGAAACCTCCCCCTGGGGAGCGCCCTCTCCTGTGCCCAGCAATGGCCCTGCTGCCCTCTCCTCCATGGGCCCCGCTGGACCATACACGCTGGAGGCGGGGCCCACCCCCTCATCTGGGCACACTGGGAGGGGCTACCCCTGGGGCCCGAGCCAGAGCGATGGAAGAAGGAGGAGGGGCGACTATGGGAGCTGGGCCATCAAGGTCACTGGCAATGGCAGGGCCGGTGCCCTCCTGGATCTCGGGGATCCGGGAGCCCCTCCATCCTGGGCCAGGGGGCAGTCCCTCCTAAAGCCTGGCCTCCCCTGTGGAGTAGTGCACCTGGTAGTGGGCCCCCTCGTAGGGCACCAGAAAGGATCCCTCGAGCGCCACCCCGCCACGCACCGCTGGCGGCAGTTGGTTGGACCTGCTGGCGGAAGGACAGGACATGATGGAGGGCGGGGTCCTTGCAACCAAGTGGGAGAGGGCTGATAATGGAAATGGGCTTCCCCAGCTTGGAGAGGAAAGGTAAAAGGGCAGCGTTGGACAGGGCAGCGCATGGAGCCCCTGTGGCCACCTCTGCACCTAGGAGCCAGAGGGAGATGCCGGCTGCTTTCCAGGAGCCGTGCAGAGTCAGGCAGGCAGCCTTCCTGCCCCACTGCGGGTGGCCAAAAGGACTTTTAATGGCCTAATCAGTGGTGCTGGCGGGAGCCCCCAGGGTCCCTTTTCGACTGGATGTTCTGATTGAAAACCGGATGCCTGGCAACCCTAGTGAAGACTTTCTAAACAATTACTCTAGCTCAAACATGTGTTTGGTGCTTAATACTAGGCAATATTCTATGGCCTGTGTTATGCACCAGATCAGACTAGCTTATCCTAATACTCCTTTCTGGCCCTCCAATATTAGGGTTGCCAACCCTCCTGGATTGGCCAGGAGTCTCGCGGAATTGGCCTTGATCTCCTAGTGGCTATTGAAAGCCATTTGGGAGATTTTAATAGGCCAAAAGTCCAGCGGGTGGCACAGCAGGGCTAAGGCAGACTCCCTACCTGCCTTAGCTCCGCGTTGCTCCCAGAAGTTACCGGCATGTCCCTCTGGCTCCTAGGCACTGGGGCGGCCAGGGGGCTCTCTGTGTGTGGGAACTGCAGCCAATGGATTGCACCGCAGAGCCGCCTGGCCACCCGAGTCTAGGAGCCAGACATGCCGGTTGCTTCTGGGAGCCACCTGAGGTAAGCGCCACTGTTACGAATTATACCTGATAGGACACGCACACAAGGGGACCCCGAATACAGATTATACAAAGGTTATATACTTTTTAGCAAAGCATGTTGCCCTCGTGCATCAGAAACCTTAGCCAATAAACAAACCCTTTTCTTATCTACCACCTATCCCTGCTTGGTGCATTCCTCGTGCTAAACCAGTATGTTAATGTCACAGCATGGTCCTAAAGCCATGCATCAGTAACTTTTATTATCAGGATGGGAGGCCTCACATCAAAGGCCAGGAGATAGGGAGTTAGAGACTGACAAAAAACAGATACTGGGAGTCAAGGCAGGCTGGAGACAAGGAGGAGGATTTTCACAGGGATGCAGTGTCTAAGGAACACTCCTCCTGGTGCATGATGTGCTTGCTTTTAGACAATGGTGGGCCCCAAACCAAAATGGAGTCACATGTGCTAACTTTTCCTTAACACCACCCAGCTGGAGCCTGCATCCCAAACCCCCTCCCACACTCCAACCCACTACCCCAGTTCTGAGCCCCCTCCTGCACCCAAATTCCCTCCCAAAGCCTGCACCCCACACCCCCTCCTGCACCTCAACCCCCTGTCCCAGCCCTGAGCCCCCTCCCATATTCCAGAACCCTCGGCCCCAGTCTGGAGCCCCTTCCTACACCCAAACTCCCTCCCAGAGCCCACACCTAGGGCTGCCAACTTTCCATTGGCACAAACCTAACACCCTAGCCCTGACCCTTCCCCGAGGCCCCGCCCCTTCCCTGAGGGCCCACCCACTACACTCCCCGTCCCTCACTGGCTTGCTCTCCCCCACCCTCGCTCACTTTCACTGTGCTGGGGCAGGGGGTTGGGATGTGGGAGAAGGTGAGGGCTCTAAATGGGGGTGTGGCCAGAAATGAGGGGTTCAGGGTGCAGGAGAGGGCTGTGGGTTGAGGCAGGGGGTTGGGGTGGGGGAAGGGTGAGGGCTCTGGGCTGGGGGTGCTGGTTCTGGGGTGGGGCCATGGATGAGGGGTTTGGGGTGCACGAGGGGGTTCCAGGCTGGGGGGCGGGGCTGAGGGATTTGGAATGTGGGAGGGGGCTGCAGGTTGAGGCAGGGGGTTGGGATGTGGGAGGGGTGAGGGCTCTGGGCAGGGGGCGCAGGCTCTGGGGTGGGGCCAGGGATGAGAGGTTTGAGGTGAAGGAGGGGGCTCTGAGTTGGGGTTGAGGGTTGGGGCATGGGCTTACCTTGGGCAGCTCCTCGTCAGTGTTGCAGCAGGAGTGCTAAGGCAGGCTTCCTGCCTGTCCTGGGGCACTGCGCTTGCACCCCAGAAGTGGCCAGCAGGTCTGGCTCCTAGGCGGGGGGTGGGGTAGGAGGCTCCATGGCGTGTACTGCTCACTCCCGGAGGTACTGCCCCCCCCCCAGCTTGGCCAATGGGAGGGAGAAGCTGGTGCTCGGGGCAGGGGCAGCATGCACCATGAGCCTCCTGCTTTCCCCCCACCCCCCGACTAGGGGCCGGACCTGCTGGCTGCTTCCGATGCCCCAGGACAGGTAGGGACTAGCTTGACTTGGCATCGCAGCACCGGCGACCGGACTTTTAACAGCCTGGTCGGTGGTGCTGACCGGGGCCACCAGGGTCCCTTTTTGAGTGGGTGTTCCCGTCGAAACCCAGACAGCTGGTCACCCTACCACACCCCCTCCCGCACCCCAACCCTCAGCCCCACCCCGATGAGAGGGAGGGGGACAGCTGGAAATGGCGCGATGGAGTCCCAGGCGAGAGACGCCTGCAGGCAAGGGGGCGCCCGCACGGTGATGTGTGTGGACGCTGCCCCGCGGCAGGGGCGGGGGAGCCGAAGAGCGGCTCGCGGAGCCGCGCGAGGGCGCCCCTGGAGTCGGTCCGCTGACCCAAGAGCCCGCAGTACTGCCCACACTGGGGGCGAGTGAGACGCTCTGCGCCTGCGCGCACGGCACCCCGCCCACTGTTTCTATGGCAACAGAAATCAACAGGCCCGCTTGCGGTTTGGGCCCCGGCCTGCACCTCGGCGGCGGGTCTCGCGCCCATTCCCCACGTTCAGCGTGTCCTCCGCGGGCACCGTGAGGGCAGCTGGGCGGCGCGCGCCGCCGGGAGACTGAGGGCGCCTCGGGCGTCAGCGCTCCGGACCCTCGGCTGTGGGCGACCCCGGGGCCTGGGAGGGCCCCCGCTGGCCAGGGCCGAGGCACCATGAGCGTGGCGGAGGTGGAGGAGCTCGTCTCCCAGAAATACGAGATCAAGAAGCGCCTGGGCAAGGGGGTGAGCGCGGCCGCTGCCCCGCGGGGTAGGACCCCCGGCGCCTTCCGAGCGCCAGCGGCTGGCCCCCGCCCGGAGCCGGAGGGAGGGATGGCACCCAGGCCGCCCGCTGCGGTGCGGCGCTGGCCGGCCGCCCCTCGCCGCGGTAACCGGGGGCCGTGTGGGCAGAAGCGCCCCTTCCCCCGCCGGTGCCTGGGCTCCCGCTGCCCGGGAGACGGGCTGCGGCGTTGCTCAGGGGCTGCGCGCCGCGGCCAAAGCCCCACCGCGCTGGAAATGCCGGACAAGCTAACCCTGAGGCGGGCAGAAAGGGAAACACAAGCCAGTGGAGTGGGAAGCTTGGAATGGCTCTGCCTTCAAATTTGTCAGTGATGTTTCATGTTAGAGCAGCCCAGTCACTCGGAAACAATGACCATGTCAGTCCCTTCGCTGTCAGCCCTGCTCAGACCATTCATTAACTCACTTATGTTCGCTGTGCTTTCTAAATGCTAACTCTTAACATTAGGCAAGCAAACTGCAGGAAAAAGCAGGTTTCAGAGTAACAGCCGTGTTAGTCTGTATTCGCAAAAAGAAAAGGAGGACTTGTGGCACCTTAGAGACTAACCAATTTATTTGAGCATAAGCTTTCCTGAGCTACAGCTCACTTCATCGGATGCATACCCTGGAAACTGCAGCAGACATTATATACACACAGAGATCATGAAACAATCCAACCCCACTGTTCTGCTGGTAATAGCTTATCTAAAGTGATCATCAAGTTGGGCCATTTCGAGCACAAATCCAGGTTTTCTCACCCTCCACCCCCCCACACACAAACTCACTCTCCTGCTGGTAATAGCCCATCCAAAGTGACAACTCTCTTCACAATGTGCATGATAATCAAGGTGGGCCATTTCTTGCACAAATCCAGGTTCTCTCACCCCCCCCTCCAAAAACCACACACACAAACTCACTCTCCTGCTGGTAATAACTCATCCAAAGTGACCGCTCTCCCTACAATGTGCATGGTAATCAAGGTGGGCCATGTCCAGCACAATCCAGGCTTTCTCACCCCCCCCCCTTTTTCCCGGGGACACACACACATACACAAACTCACTCTCCTGCTGGCAATAGCTCATCCAAACTGACCACTCTCCAAGTTTAAATCCAAGTTTAACCAGAACGTCTGGGGGGGGGGGGGTAGGAAAAAACAAGGGGAAATAGGCTTCCTTGCATAATGACTTAGCCACTCCCAGTCTCTATTTAAGCCTAAATTAATAGTATCCAATTTGCAAATGAATTCCAATTCAGCAGTTTCTCGCTGGAGTCTGGATTTGAAGTTTTTTTGTTTTAAGATAGCGACCTTCATGTCTGTGATTGCGTGACCAGAGAGATTGAAGTGTTCTCCGACTGGTTTATGAATGTTATAATTCTTGACATCTGATTTGTGTCCATTTATTCTTTTACGTAGAGACTGTCCAGTTTGACCAATGTACATGGCAGAGGGGCATTGCTGGCACATGATGGCATATATCACATTGGTGGATGTGCAGGTGAACGAGCCTCTGATAGTGTGGCTGATGTTATTAGGCCCTGTGATGGTGTCCCCTGAATAGATATGTGGGCACAGTTGGCAACGGGCTTTGTTGCAAGGATAAGTTCCTGGGTTAGTGGTTCTGTTGTGTGGTATGTGGTTGTTGGTGAGTATTTGCTTCAGGTTGGGGGGCTGTCTGTAGGCAAGGACTGGCCTGTCTCCCAAGATTTGTGACAGTGTAGGGTCATCCTTTAGGATAGGTTGTAGATCCTTAATAATGCGTTGGAGGGTTTTAGTTGGGGGCTGAAGGTGACGGCACAAATCCAGGTTTTCTCACCCTCTGCCCGGATTTGTGCTGGAAGTGGCCCAACTTGATTATCATACACATTGTAAAGAGAGTGGTCACTTTGGATAGGCTATTACCAGCAGGAGAGTGAGTTCCTGTGTTCCTGTGTGGGGGGGAAATGTGCTGGAAATGGCCCAACTTGATTATCATACACATTGTAAGAAGAGTGATCACTTTAGATAAGCTATTACCAGCAGGAGAGTGGGGTGGGAGGAGGTATTGTTTCATGGTCTCTGTGTATATAATGTCTTCTGCAGTTTCCACAGTATGCATCCGATGAAGTGAGCTGTAGCTCACGAAAGCTTATGCTCAAATAAATTGGTTAGTCTCTAAGGTGCCACAAGTACTCATTTTCTTTTTAGGAAAAAGCAGGTTTTTCCTGCTGATCTAGCCTGAGGGATGCAGGACTTGCTGGGGTGCTTTACACTTTAATGCTTTTTAAAGGGTAAACCCAACCAGTTCAGGCCTCCCAATTAATTTTCTTAATTAAAACAAAGCTTTAAATGACCCAAGTTGCTGCTAAAGTGGAGGAATAGAGGGTTTAAGGAAAAGAGGTCATTTTAATCCCTCCTCCTTCTACAATGCACAATTTACTTTTAAGTAGCACTTTATGACTCTTCAGTCATATTTTCTATTACAATTAGACTGGGAGCTATTTTTTTCAGGGTTTTGTTTTTCTTTTTCAGTAAAAAGACAGTTGAAAACATTCCTGAAAGGGCAACTAGACTTATTTGGAGGAATGTGGTCTGACAAGGCCAAGAACCTATAGAAGAGAAAAGTGAAATACTTCTTAAAACTAATGCAAAACCCTGTAGGAACCTAAACTCACTTGGTTCCTAAGTTTTTTTTTTTTTTTTTCTTCAGGGTAAAAATTCCCTACATTTCTGCCTCTGGGCATGATCACTGCTATCTCACTCTAGGCATCTGGATGTCTGTCTCCCACTTAAGCCCCAGAGCATTTCGCAAACCAGGGGAAGCCTAACTTCATGCAGGGCTCAAATTGGTAGGCATGCTTATAGGCAGTGGTGAGCTGGAGCCGGTTCGCTAGAACTGGTTGTTAAATTTAGAAGGGCAAAAGTGGTGCTTTAGGCGCCGACTCTGTGGGTGATCTGGGGCTGGAACACCCACAGGGAAAATTTGGGGGGTGCAGAGCACCCACCGGCAGCTCCGCACCTGGCCCCAGCTCACCTCCGCTCCGCCTCCTCCCCTGAACACGCCGCCCCGCTCTGCTTCTCCACCCCCCCACCCTCATAGAATCATAGAATCATAGAATATAAGGGTTGGAAGGGACCCCAGAAGGTCATCTAGTCCAACCCCCTGCTCAAAGCAGGACCAATTCCCAGTTAAATCATCCCAGCCAGGGCTTTGTCAAGCCTGACCTTAAAAACCTCTAAGGAAGGAGATTCTACCACCTCCCTAGGTAACGCATTCCAGTGTTTCACCACCCTCATAGTGAAAAAGTTTTTCCTAATATCCAATCTAAACCTCCCCCACTGCAGCTTGAGACCATTACTCCTCGTTCTGTCATCTGATACCATTGAGAACAGTCTAGAGCCATCCTCTTTGGAACCCCCTTTCAGGTAGTTGAAAGCAGCTATCAAATCCCCCCTCATTCTTCTCTTCTGCAGGCTAAACAATCCCAGCTCCCTCAGCCTCTCCTCATAACTCATGTGTTCCAGCCCCCTAATCATTTTTGTTGCCCTTCGCTGGACTCTCTCCAATTTATCCACATCCTTCTTGAAGTGTGGGGCCCAAAACTGGACACAGTACTCCAGATGAGGCCTCACCAATGTCGAATAGAGGGGAACGATCACGTCCCTCGATCTGCTCGCTATGCCCCTACTTATACATCCCAAAATGCCATTGGCCTTCTTGGCAACAAGGGCACACTGCTGACTCATATCCAGCTTCTCGTCCACTGTCACCCCTAGGTCCTTTTCCACAGAACTGCTGCCTAGCCATTCGGTCCCTAGTCTGTAGCTGTGCATTGGGTTCTTCCGTCCTAAGTGCAGGACCCTGCACTTATCCTTATTGAACCTCATCAGATTTCTTTTGGCCCAATCCTCCAATTTGTCTAGGTCCTTCTGTATCCTATCCCTCCCCTCCAGCGTATCTACCACTCCTCCCAGTTTAGTATCATCCGCAAATTTGCTGAGAGTGCAATCCACACCATCCTCCAGATCATTTATGAAGATATTGAACAAAACCGGCCCCAGGACCGACCCTTGGGGCACTCCACTTGATACCGGCTGCCAACTAGACATGGAGCCATTGATAACTACCCGTTGAGCCCGACAATCTAGCCAACTTTCTATCCACCTTATAGTCCATTCATCCAGCCCATACTTCCTTAACTTGCTGACAAGAATACTGTGGGAGACCGTGTCAAAAGCTTTGCTAAAGTCAAGAAACAATACATCCACTGCTTTCCCTTCATCCACAGAACCAGTAATCTCATCATAGAAGGCGATTAGATTAGTCAGGCATGACCTTCCCTTGGTGAATCCATGCTGGCTGTTCCTGATCACTTTCCTCTCATGCAAGTGCTTCAGGATTGATTCTTTGAGGACCTGCTCCATGATTTTTCCAGGGACTGAAGTGAGGCTGACTGGCCTGTAGTTCCCAGGATCCTCCTTCTTCCCTTTTTTAAAGATTGGCACTACATTAGCCTTTTTCCAGTCATCCGGGACTTCCCCGGTTCGCCACGAGTTTTCAAAGATAATGGCCAATGGCTCTGCAATCACAGCCGCCAGTTCCTTCAGCACTCTCGGATGCAACTCGTCCGGCCCCATGGACTTGTGCACGTCCAGCTTTTCTAAATAGTCCCTAACCACCTCTATCTCCACAGAGGGCTGTCCATCTCTTCCCCATTTTGTGATGCCCAGCGTAGCAGTCTGGGAGCTGACCTTGTTAGTGAAAACAGAGGCAAAAAAAGCATTGAGTACATTAGCTTTTTCCACATCCTCTGTCACTAGTTTGCCTCCCTCATTCAGTAAGGGGCCCACACATTCCTTGGCTTTCTTCTTGTTGCCAACATACCTTCCCACAAATCAGCTTCCCACAAATCAGCTGTTCGCGCGGGAAGCATTGGAGGGCTGAGAAGCAAGCGGCAGCTTCGTGCTCAGGCCCAGGGAGGCGGAGGCAGAG